CCTTTATTGTTATGTCATTTTAGGAGACTTACAAATGTGTAATTTTTTTTACCTCCATCTTCTCTCCTCTCAGTCATCCCTCTCACACCTTTCAATTTTATACTGGAGCTGCACATTCATTCCCCCTACTAGGATTTTTCATGCTATTTCCACTCATTTTCAGAGCACTTCTGATGAACTTCAACCTGTACATGGTGAGGACCGACGATATTCCTGTGTTGAGTGTGGTGTTTCATTCAGTCAAGAGCGAATTCTGGTAGCACATCAACTCATACGCAGTTGTGAGCACCCATTTTATTGCAATATATGTACTAAGTCATTCAGTTGTCAGAGCCATCTGAAGGCACATCACCTCATACTTACTGGGGAGCAGCCATTTACATGTGATGTATGTAATAAGTCATTCAGTGATCAGAGTACGCTGAAGGCACATCAGCGTATACATACTGGGGAGCAGCCATTTAGATGTGATGTATGCAGTAAATCATTCCGTGCTCAGAGTAACCTGAAGATACATCAGCGCATACATAGTGGGGAGCGGCCATTTAGATGTGATGTGTGTGGTAAGTCATTCGGTGATCAGAGTACACTGAAGAGACATCAGCGCATACATACTGGGGAGCGGCCATTCTTCTGTGATGTGTGTAATAAGTCATTCAGAGATCAGAGTACGCTGAAGGCACATCAGCGTATGCATACTGGGGAGCGGCCATTTAGATGTGATGTATGCAGTAAGTCATTCCGTGTCCAGAGTAACGTGAAGGTACATCAGCGCATACATAGTGGGGAGCGGCCATTTAGATGTAATGTGTGTGGTAAGTCATTCCGTGATCAGAGTACACTGAACAGACATCAGCGCATACATACTGGGGACCGGCCATTCTGCTGTGATGTGTGTAATAAGTCATTCAGTAATCAGAGTACACTGAAGGCACATCAGCGCATACATACTGGGGACCGGCCATTCTGCTGTGATGTGTGTAATAAGTCATTCAGTAATCAGAGTACACTGAAGACACATCAGCGTATACATACTGGGGAGCGGCCATTCTGCTGTGATGTGTGTAATAAGTCATTCAGTGATCCGAGTACACTGAAGAGACATCAGCGCATGCATACTGGGGACCGGCCATTCTGCTGTGATGTGTGTAATAAGTCATTCAGTAATCAGAGTACACTGAAGGCACATCAGCGCATACATACTGGGGACCGGCCATTCTGCTGTGATGTGTGTAATAAGTCATTCAGTGATCAGAGTACACTGAAGAGACATCAGCTCATACATACTGGGGACCAGCCATTCTGCTGTGATGTGTGTAATAAAGCATTCAGTGATCAGAGTAAACTGAAGGCACATCAGCATATACATACTGGCGTGGCCATTCAGGTGAAGTTTATGTAATAAGTCATTCAGTTGTCACAGTAATCTGAAGACACATCTGTGCATACATACAGGGGAATCGCAATTTTCTTGTGATGTGTGCAGTGTGTCATTCAGTCATCTGAAGACACATCAGCACATACATACTGGGGAGCAGCCATTTAGATATGATGTATGTAATAAGCCATTCAGCAAGCATCTGTGCATACATACAGGGGAATCGCAATTTTTCTGTGATGTGTGCAGTGTGTCATTCAGTCATCTGAAAGCACATCAGCGCATACATCGTGGGAAGCAGCCATTCTGCTGTAAAGTGTGTAATAAGTTATTCAGTTTTCACAATAGTCTGAAGATACATTAGCTCCTACATAGTGGGGAGCAACCGTTTAGATGTGATGTGTCTAATATGTCATTCAGTTGGAAAAGTAATCTGAAGACACATCAGCATATACATGTTGATGTGTATAGTAAATCATAGAGCACCAGAGATGGGTTTAGACTAAAGGAACAATTTGTTACTTGTAGCATGCCACAGTATTACATGTAAATAAGACCGTTTTAGTGTGTGTTTCATGCCGCATGTTTGTAGAGTGCACCAAGATATTGGGGTTGTTTGCTGTTGCTGACCTTGCCAACCGACAGGCAGGAACTCAGTGACATGGTACAGAACATCATTGCATATCAGTGTCTGTTTAATTCTGATTGCTGAATGTGCACGAGACCCTGTCTTGTTGAGTGGGAACAGACATGACATGATATTCTCCTACACTTATGTTGTTAATTCAGCAGTGGAAGCTAGTGATTGCTAGAGTGTAGTCACTGAACCTGATCGACAACTTATAAACACATTTATGCAGATTCCTTTGTTTTTCCTCTTTCTCTGTCTGCTGTGAGTTATTACATTAATCAGTTAGTTACAGATTCACATCATTTGGATTGAATAATTTTATTGTGTATATACAATAAACACATAATTTCTACCGTCAAGGCAACAATACTTTATTATTTATTTATTTTAGCATGGACTACATATTTCGACTTCAAGTGGGTCACTTACCCGTGCAGCAAGTTTCTCACATCCTGTTAACAAATTGAAACATTAACATTCTCATTTTTATAAATGGTTAGTACAAGTTAGTTCCTATTGAATTTACAAAGTAGACAAAACTTATACTAGACCTTGGTTAAAATTAACTATAACATACAATAAAATAAGAATAAACATCAGAATAAAAATCGTACATGTGATAAAGTCTTATACATAATAATAGGATACACCTGATTTAATAATTAGGTGATCCTGAATCCACAATTTGATATTTGGATCCTTTATTATCGGACTATCCATCAATAATGCAACAATATAAAAGACATTAGGAATATGTTTCACACTAAAAATGTATTTCAGCACTTTTTGATGTTGTTAAAATCATTAAAAATGGATTAAAAATTATCTTTCAAAATGTTATAATAATAATCATCATCATTACAACAACAGTAATAATAATTCAAGTCGTGTTTATTTACGTGCAAACTTAACAGCACATAGGCCAATTACAAAGCTAGCACGAATAGAGAAATACACAAAAATAATTAGAAAAATAAAATACAAAAATTATAGTCTATATTAATTACACAGTTATCATGAATAAAGATACAGAAGCAAACATACACAGACAAAGCCACAATGTGAGGATTTGAGTTTCAAATAGAGGAGCATACAATAATAGTAATAATAATAAAAACGAAATTAATGAAAGTAATTATAATAATAATTGTTTATTTATATCAGTATAAAATATGTTTCATCAACAGAGTTTTTGGTCCAAAGACGTCATCGTCCCTACAAACAACAGCAGCAGCTCATCTAGCAGAGGGGAAATTTTTACTAACAGAACTGACATTGAACATAGGAAAGTCTCGGATATATCGAACAGGGACCCAAAGGCCAACAGTTTACAAAGCAGAAGGGCAAAATACAGAACCACGATAAACTTGAATAAGAAAGAGCGCATCAAGATGATATCTCCTCTTTTGCAAGGTGTGCAATTTCCATTGTTCTAAAGCAAAGCAATAATAATAATATAAAGATGAATACATAAAGGAAATGGAAGAATCTATAATCGCCAATAACTATAAAACTATCAAATTCTCGTCGTCTTTATCGCCTCCATACATGATGCTGTTGCTTCTGCTGGTGGGTGGTGGCTACAGCCTGCCTAACTCTGCTCATGGGCCGCGCCATAGCTCAAGTGGTTAGTCGCTGGCTTCCCATCGTGGCGGCTCGGGTTCGATCCCGTGTCTGGTCAAGTGGGATTTGTGGTGGACAAAGTGGCGCTGGGGCAGGTTTTCTCCTAGTACTTCGGTTTCCCCAGCGAATCTTCATTCAACCAATTCCTCCATAATCACCTTCACCTATCATTTGGGGCTGGTACAATAGGTAAGAAGTGGCACAGTACAAGGGACTTAGTCCCACCCCACTAGCAATAAAGAAAACTCTGCTCACCGACCATCCTTACCACCTCCTATTCTTGTTGTTGGGTTAATTATTCAGTTGTTGGGCAGCAGTAAACTAATTTGAAATTGTTTACAATCTTCGTGAAAAGGGGGGAGGATGGTTAAGGAGATGCTTGTGGTGGGTCGCTAGTTTGAGTCGTTAGAGATAAGATTCAGTCTCAGCGCTTTTGGCAGTGTGTCGCTTATTCACAGAGCCACTTTATTGCGACAGTTGTCACTGGTGAACACCTTCAATCAACTAGATCATACTTTGTAAGATTTGAGGCTTTCACGGCGGTGACTATGAAGAAAGCAGTCTTCTGGGATTTGGCACCGTGTATATGTGGTGTTAACCGACGTTTCGGAGGAACGTATCGCCCCCATCTTCAGGGTAGAAGAAAAANAATAGATTTCAGATATACCAAATTTCACTTTAGGCTGAATCGCTAGTCAGTAGGTAGCTCCACTCACAGATTCTTTAATCACTTACACTGGAACTTAGAATTTCTAGTCAAACTTGTGGAAATACAGATTTTGCATCCAAGAAATCTGTGAGCTGGAATGAAACTAACTTAACAGACTGACTTCTCTCAAAACTAGAAATCCTAATCGCTTCATATCGGCCCACAAGCCACTTCCTTATGTTCCGACAATTGGTCAAATTTGAACAAGAGGAGTTCACCTCATTTAAACTCCAATGACCTAATGTATGAGTATGAGGGGTGAGCCATAAAACTGGCCCTATCACTGTGACCTTCAGCGGTTATTGTGCTTCCCCTTTGCATTAACCATTTATTAATCATACACTTCGAATGAAATGTAGGACTTTGTTTACAGGGGCATCATAAAAGTCACTTGGTTCCATGAAGAATTGACCCAGGTGGCGATATCTTAAATAAGCTGTAGCCCCACAATCACATAAGATGTGTGTGGCTGATTCATCATCTTGTAGACACCCCTCACATGTCGGGTCCTCTGTCATTCCAAGTTTGGAAAGGTGTCCTTTTAGGTGGCAGTGTCCGGTAAGTAATCCTACCACCCATCTGAGTTGATCTCTATTTAATTTTAACAGGTCCTTCGTTCTTTTGAGAGAGGGTCCTGATATATATCCTTTTGCCTCTTTGAGTCCAGTTATGAAATCTCAGTGTTTTTTGTGATTTTTGTTAGTCCAGTCCCTGATCGCTTTCTTGGCATATCCATTTGAGATGCCGCAAGCTGGTTCAGGTCCTGTGAATGGCTGTTCAGATCCTGTTCTTGCCAGCTGATCTGCGCTTTTTTTCCCTACAATACCCTCATGACCTGGCACCCATATCAGTTGTATGAGGGACTGCTGGCAGTCCCAAACCAATTTTGAGTTTGTCAACTGCTTTAAGTGCAGCCTGGCTGTCAGATAAAATGTAGATGTTCCTATTTCTATAGTTCCTACCTAAATTCTACATAATATATGCCTTAATGACATATACTTCTGCCTGGAATACTGTCATATACTGCCCAAGGCTGAAACTAAGTTTCCGTCTCATTCCATAGCAGTGCACACCAGCTCCAGTGCCCATATTTATCTTGGAACCACCTGTATACCAGATTAGTCCTCCCTTTCTATCAGGTTGAAACCCCTCTTTCCATTCACTTCTATCAGGAAATCTGATCCTGAAGGGTCTATTATAAACATGTTTCGGTATTATTTTATCAGATCCCATCTGTAGGATGGGTTCTTTTTTCATGTCCTGAGTCATGTATGCATGTCCAAGACATTGATCATTGCAACATAATCTGTAATTTCCTAACTTGGCCTCTGCTTCCGTCTTCAAATGCAGTGGAGGGAGTCCAAGTAGGATTTACATTACAGCTGTTGGAGCTGTTCTCATTGGATCAATGAGTAATTCCCAAGCTGGCTGTCCTTTGCAGTTTGCTAAGTTCTGCCTGACTTCTCTTGAGTTTAACCCTAGGCCGCCATATAGTGGCGGCATAGGTGATTATGGGTCTTATCACTGCAGCGTATATCCAATATACATGTACCACCTTTGGTGTCAGTCCCCAGGTCTTCCACAATGTGCCTCTGCATGTCAAGAAGGCTTTATAGGCCTTATTAATAGCCTTAACCAACTGATGTTCCCATGTCAGCCCCTTGTCTAAAGTTAATCCAAAGTACTTGATTTCACCGGATAGCCAGATCGCTTTACTGAAGAGTATTGCTTCTTTGAGACCCGTTATATCTCTCATCCTAGTAAAGGGTATAATTACATCTTGTTTGGATTGATAGACAAGTTTGTCCTTTTGCAACACTGTTGAACTGTATACAGGGCTGATTGTAAGACCTCTGATACAGTGTGCGGGAATTTCCCATTAATTAGCATTGCTATACATCAGCATATATCAGCATATCCTACTGTGAAGTGGACTCTAGTGTTGAGCTGTATACAGGGCTGTTCCCATTAATTAGGACAGTCGGAAGGACCAAATATGGGCAAGTTGCTGGAACGGAAGAGGATTTAGCCAATGGGAATCGTCGATTCCTACGCGTACCGTGAGGACAGAAGCGTGCCCACACTTCCAGAATGTATAAAACCCTGGAACATGGGGTGGGAAAGGCCTTATCATTATCAACAGTCACTCGAGCCTTAGGTGCAAGACACACATCGGGGTGCAAGGGACGCCACTGAGAGAGGACGGAGGAGATGGGCACGTAGTTGCAGCCCGGTAGACGTGGTCGCATGAGTACTTGTTAATGATTGGCCACGATCCGGACTGTCATTGACTGAGGGTTAGGATTAGGTGAACTAGGTAACATGTTAGAATTAAGTATAAACCAACGTAATTAAGAGGGAACAGTTCATAACAACTACGCTCAGGCGAGATGCCAGACAGAGGCTGGATGGCCACGGATGTTAGCCAGATCGAATAAGTGAGTTGAAACATTGTACGCAGTATGAAATTATTGTATGCTCCTGACTAATGGGCTAGTTGACTGGCTAGGGGAACTAGAGACGCTTCACCACTTGCTCTATTGTCAACCATATTTGCCTACATTCAAGTCACTGTGAACCATTACCCAGTGTGTATTAAGAGGAGAGTAGGTTAAGATAGTACGCTCCAGGTAAACAGAGAGCCATGGATTAAGAATATTATTACATTCTCATGTAACCACTTACATTATATGTATATATCCACATATTCTTTTGTGTTTGTGTAATTGAGAAAGTTTTTGTAACCATTGTCACTGCACCCTCACCCTCCTTGATTCGGCGAGAGATATACCGGTGACCGAAGGGGAACGTTAGGCCACCACCCTGCGGCACAAAAAACTGATGGCAGCGGTGGGACGTTTTCGTAATTCTGCCCGAATTGTGGGACTTGCGCTTGAGAAGAGGGAAGGGTGGGAGAGTATAGATAGCCCTCGCCACCCAGGGGTGCCAAGAATGGCTGTTAGACAGTGATAGGTTTTGTACAATATGGTACGACACTGAAGAAGGGAGGTAACCTCCGTCTTGCACCTAAGGGATTTGGTTTGATGACATTAGTGGGTAGCGGGTTTAACTTGTTGGAGGGCGTGGTTACGATATTTTTTGTGCAATAGCCTAACAGAGTGCCTCGTGATGGCTCAGAAAGGAGAACTGGAAGCCCTTCAGGCTCAGATAAAGGCTCTAAGAGAAGAACTGGAGACCCTTAGGAGAAGGGAGGCGCCGCAAGATCGCGTGGGAGGCGGGGAATCACCCCAACGGCCAGGTCCGAGGAGGAGTCGCGGAACGACCAAACGGGCCGTTAGGTGTTTTCGATGCGCGGAAATGGGTCGGTACGCGAGTGACTGCTGCCAGGATCCTGATCCTGCTTTTCCCGGCTGGAGGTACTGGGATGATCAACGGCGTAATTGGGGAACCGGCCCCTCCAGGGAGTCGCAGATCGCCCCAGGAGATATGGATGGGAAAGGCCCCAGGGGGCTATGTCCAAGAACGTCAGTATGGCCATGGGTCCCCTCTGGTGAGATACGCCCCTTCGTCATTTAGTGTTACCATTGTTATGAGTTTTGGCATCGGCGTCGGGACGTCCCAGAGTAGTCCCAATCCGCTCGACAACCGAGCGAACAGGACTGGACGCCCGAAGCTACAGCGGCGGAGTCCTCGCCGACTCTTCCAATGTAGGTCGGATGACTCGCCATGATGACCGGAGTAAAGGTACGAGGCAGTATGTGTTACGAGCTAGCTGAAACGAAAGTCAGAATAAATGTGAATAATTTCCAAATTTGTATAAATGCGATTAAGAATTTGCGGGTTGTTGCAAGGACCACCGTAACTAAATTTACGATAATAGAAATTGTGATGATATATTTTAGAAGAAAACATGATGTTTATTTGCAAATTTTTATAATTTTACTAGACATGAAGTATAACGGGGATTATAAAAGGGGTTGATGCTCTCAGATGTAGGGAGGTATGTGTCGGTTTGCGAACCAACGCTCTTATCCCAAGATGGAAGCGGCGTCAATTGTAAGGCTGGAATGTCGAGCGATTCGTCACCAAAGTCGCACGTTGCAGGGGATGTCTGAAGCGGAACTGATCACCTAGCCGAGGGCGGTGCCGCGTCACTTGCGAGACCGCAGAGTTCAAGTGACCCCTACTTCCCGTTGCGCCATCCACGTCACAATATGTATATACTGTAAAACTTCTCTGGTATCATGCTCCTTATCATCCATGTATATTATGTATATATTTTAACTTTTAGAACATCTACTGTAATAGTGGCTTCAATCTGTATTGATGAAGATCTGAAGTTGGTCTCTGAAGACTGAAATATATAAGGGCGTGAATAATTGAAATAAGAAAATCTTAACCAGTCACACTGAACGGAACTATTTAGCTTTTTCAAAATATATATCATATTATCACGTGTTGGGTATATGTAACGCGACAAGTAATAAATAAAAAAAAATAGAATTATAGCAGAACGAACTTTGGAGATAGATGAAGAACTGTGTGCTTGCTTTATAGACTGACAGAAGGCATTTGACCGTGAAAATTTGACCAAATTAATGCAAATCCTAAAGGAAACAGGTATCGATTGGCGTGAAAGAAGATTTATTAGTAAATTGTACATGGATCAGAAAGTTAGAGTGCGACTGGACAGAGGGGAGACAAGAAGTGTGAAGATTGGAAGAGGAGTTCGACAAGGATGCTGTTTATCACCAATTTTGTTCAGCTTGTACAGCGAATGTCTTACCAAAGATGCTCTAGACGGGCTTGGAGACTTCAAATTAGGAGGGCAAATTATCCAAACTGTGAAATATGCAGATGACCTTGTGTTAATGGCTAAGGAAAAAACTGTGATACAGGGTATGATTGATAGACTAATCGAAATTGGAAGGTGCTATGGCATGGAAATGAATGTGGAAACAACAAAAGTAATAAAAATTTCGAGACAACCAACCCCAGTCACAATAAAGATAGACCAAAAACAACTGGAGAATGTGAAATGTTTTAACTATTTGGGTAGCTTGTTGACAGATGATGGAAGGAGTACGTGTGAAATTAAATCCAGGATTGCCATGGCAAAAGCTGCATTTAGCAAGAAGAAGAATCTTTTTACCAGCAAATTGGACTTCAATTTGTGAAACAAACTACTGAAATGCTACATTTGGAGCATTGCTTTGTATGGGGCTGAAACTTGGACACTTGGAAAGTTTCGAAATGTGGTGTTGGAGAAGCTCAGTTTGACCGATTATGTGAGAAATGAACTGTTATTTAGAGTCAGTGAGCAGAAGACTATCCTACACGAAATAAGAAAAAGGAAGGCTAATTGGATTGGTCATATCTTACGGGATAACTGCCTTCTAAAAGAAGTCATTGAAGGAAAGATAGAGGGGCGGATAGAAGTGACCAGAAGACGAGGAAGAAAACGTAAGAAGATGCTGGATGACCTTGGGGAGAGAAGCGGATATTTTTATTTCAAGGAGAAAGCTCTAGATCGTATCAAGTGGAGGAACTGTTTTGGAAGAGACTGTGGACCTGTCATCTTGACACATTACAGATGAATGAATGAATGAAATATAAATGTAAATGTTCGTTTGTTCCTGATCTTAAATCTCAGAGTTCTTCACCGATCGCTTTGAAATTTTGACACAACGTTCCATTCGAATACGCGCGTATTTTTATATACCTATATATAGATGTCACACCTGTGGCAGGCAAAAACAGGTAAAGTCCTGTCACATGTTCGGAATCCAGGAGTCACTTCCATAGTAACGCTAGAACAGACCGTTGCATAGGTAGCGACAATAGCGGTATTGTAGCCGCAACAGTTGGCCGTTGCCTAAGAAGTAACAATAGCGATAATGTAATTCCAGCAGTGAGCCGTTGTGTCGAGAACATCGAATCTCCACGGTTACGACGAATACACGGAGCGTTCCCACAGAGACAACGCAATAACAATGGGTCGTTGCGTAGGAAACGCGGAATCAACAAAGCAGCGTTTCCAAGGTTATAACGAAGGCTCATTTGCATAGCAGCGGCCGAGGGTATAAAACGGGGGTTCAATTCATTCGCCCATTTAGTGACAGTGACAGTTTGTGTGACACTGCGTTGGAAATGGGCTGTGTCGTTTACCATAGCGTTCATTCTTCTTCAGTGCAATCGATCTGCTTTAGTTCATCCAAATAATGCCTCGCAAAAGATAAAGCTTAGGTCGTCGTACTCGCGGAGCGGAAGCAATGCGTCGAGTAATTGCAAATCAAACTGGGGAAGAACGGGCATCAGCGAACGAGCGAAACAGACAAAGAATGGCTCAAATACATGCCGAGGAGGCAGCAGAGCGACGTGCAGCCAGACTTGAGGATGCACGGTTGCGAGCACGGCGATCGCGTTCTGCAGCTTCAGATCTGCTTCGTTCACAACAGAATGAACGCGACAGGCTGAGAGTGGCTGAAAGACGTCAACGAGAAACAGCAGATCGGCGTCAAACACGACTCCGTGCTGAGCATTGACGCGATTACAATCGCCTTGCATTTCGGTACTGCCCAGCTGAAGATTATAGTTTGAGCCGGCATGTTCTCATCGCCACTATGACTGAAGTGTATCCTTATTGCAAGGCTCCGAAATTATTTGAGCAACGAAAGGAATGTGTTGCGCCGCGGGAAAAATTAAACTGTCTCTACTTTGAGAACCGCCAGAGCCTTTAAAGCTTTGCTTGCCGAATATACCGCCGAATCAAAGCACTTCCTACCTAACATTATGAAATACAACTCATGCTTCCAAATGACGTCGTTCGGCGCAGAAATCGTAACAGCTTAATTCATGCCAACTTTCAAGGTGACAGGACAAATTTATCATAAAGCCGTCTCCCTGCTTCCGTTCCCAGATGGTCAACATCAATTCCTACAAATGTACTTCGTTGGCGATGGCAATGATGAATTGAATGTCACAGCAACGCGTGGCCGGGTACAGCTAGTCTATATAAATAAAAATGTAAATGTTCGTTTTTTCATGATCTTAAATCTCCGAAAGTTCTTCACCGATTGCTTTGAAATTTTGACACAACGTTCCATTCGAATACGCGCGTAGTTTTATATACCTATTATGTAGATGTCACACCTGTGACCGGCAAAAACAGGTAAAATCCTGTCACATGTTCGGAATCCAGGAGTCACTTCCATAGTAACGCTAGAACCGACCGTTGCATAGGTAGCGACAATAGTGGTATTGTAGCCACAACAGTTGGCCGTTGCCTAAGAAGTAACAATAGCGATAATGTAATTCCAACAGTGAGCCGTTATGTCGAGAACATTGAATCTCCACGGTTACGACGAATACACGGAGCGTTCCCACAGAGACAACGCAATAACAATGGGTTGTTGCGTAGGAAATGCGGAATCGACAAAGCAGCNGAAATAGAATTAGTTGTGATACTGCAAGTGGCAATTCTTCGAAAGTGTATAAGTGTAAAAGCGAAGAACAATAAATACTCGCGTGACGTGCCCAAACACGTTACATCTATATAAATACAAATTCTATTTGCATATATTTCCATTTATTTTCATTTTGATTTAATTATTTCGTGTGACATTGCGTTGGAATTGAGCTGTGTCGTTTACCATAGCGTTCATTTCGTGAGTATAGTTTTTTTCTTTCGTTGTTTTTCATTTCGTTTTCTTAACTGTTTTCCTTATTTTTCAGTACAATTGGCGGTGGAATTGAGCTGTGTCGATTGATCTGCGTTTGAATTGAAATATTTCGTTAGTATTTTTTATTTTGTTTTGTTTCACCTTTTTTTTCCAGTTCGTGTTCTTTCCTTTTTTAATGTTTTGCAATTTTATATGTTTTTGTTAAAACTTCCTTTCTTCTTCTTCAGTGCAATCGGTCTGCTTTAGTTCATCCAAATAATACCTCGCAGAAGATCAAACTTAGGTCGTCGTACACGCGGAGCGGAAGCAGTGCGACGAGTAATTGAAAATCAAACTGGGGAATAACGGGCATCAGCGAACGAGCGAAACAGGCAAAGAATGGCTCAAATACGTGCCGAGGAAGCAGCAGAGCGACGTGCAGCCAGACTTGAGAATGCGCGGTTGCGAGCATAGCGATCCCGTTCTGCAGCCGCAGATCTGCTTCGTTCTCAACAGAATGAACGCGACAGGCGTTTACCCACAAGCATTGTGAAATTAAACGTATTAGAAGCGTGCGCTCAAACTGAGCCACAGCAAAGCGTGGTCGGGTGCAGCTAGTAAATAATAAGAACAAATAAATAATTATTAAACCCTGATCACGCCCTATTTGATACAGCGAATTTATTGAACAATCGCTCTCACATATATATAATTCGATTTTTTTACTTGACTTTCCACAGCTTTCCCACATCCCCATTAATTCCACATAATATTAAGTTCAGCCAATACCGATTCACCTATCTTACATGTTGGATTAGTGTTTACTGTATGATGTCTAATGATTAATGACTGGCTGTCGGTGAATAATTTATTAGAATGATTTTGGAAGGAAGACATCATGTCCTAATGTAAGGT